TGTTCAATAGAAACAAAGATTCATTACAAATATCACCTAGTGTACTATAAAATAGATGGCTAATTTTCAAGGTTAGAACTACTTTTCTAGGGGCTCTGATGCTTCTAGCATTGATTTTTAATCTTTGTTTCTATTGAACATGCCATACAAATAAAGGCTTTTAAATTATTTATATGAAGAGTGCCTTGGTCCTCCTTTCTTTTTGATGACCAATTCACCCCTTTGACCAAAGAGCACCTTCTGTCTACCAACATTTACTATTGTGTACCTGAGCAGCGCTTCCCTTCCTTCTTTTTTCTACAAATAAACACTTGTTGGACAATAGTTGTAAATAGTTCCTTGGCGTACACATCACCGACAAACTGAAATGGTTCACCCACGCAGACAGTGTGGTGAAGAAGGCGCAACAGAGCCTCTTCAACCTCAGGAGGCTGAAGAAATGTGGCTTAGCACCTAAAACCCTCACAAACTTTTACAGATGCACAATTGAGAGCATCCTGTCGGGCTGTATCACCGCCTGGTACGGCAACTGCACCGCCCGCAACCGCAGGGCTCTCCAGAGGGTGGTGTGGTCTGCCGAACACATTACTGGGGGCAAACTACCCGCCCTCCAAGACACATACAGCACCCGATGTCACAGGAAGGCCAAAAAGATCATCAAGGACATCAACCACCCGAGCCACTGCCTGTTCACCCCGCTATCATCCTGAAGGCGAGGTCAGTACAGGTGCATCAAAGCTGGGACCGAGAGAATGAAAAACAGCTTCTATCTCAAGGCCATCAGACTGTTAAATAGCCATCACTAGCACATTAGAGGCTGCTGCTGCCTATTGAAATCACTGGCCACTTTAAGAAATGGAACACTAGTCACTTTAATAATGTTTACATATCTTGCACTACTCATCTCATATGTATATACTGCATTCTTTTCTATAATATTCTACTGTATCTTAGTCCATGCCGCTCTGTCATTGCTTGTCCATATATGTATATATTCTTAAATCCCATTCCTTACTAGTTTTGTGTGTATTAGGTATATGTTGTGAAATTGTTAGATACTACTTGTTAGATATTACTGCACTGTCGGAGCTAGAAGCACAAGCATTTCGCTACACCCGCTATAAAATCTGCTAAACACGTGTATGTGACATTTTTCTTTTTGATTTGATTTGAAAATGAAATGCCTTTTATGGTGTCTGACAGAGTTGACATACACTGAGTATACAAAACATTAAGAACATCTGCTCTTTCCATGATATGGACTGACCTGTGTGTCAATGTAAGTAACATTATTAAAACATCCCCATCAAAATCTGTCAGTTTAAGATAGAGATATCCGTTTTTTTGCATGGGCTGCGTCTTAATCCACCGCATCCGCCTATGTCGCCTAATCCACCGCATCCGCCTATGTCGCCTAATCCACCGCATCCGCCTATGTCGCCTAATCCACCGCATCCGCCTATGTCGCCTAATCCACCGCATCCGCCTATGTCGCCTAATCCACCGCATCCGCCTATGTCGCCTAATCCACCGCATCCGCCTATGTCGCCTAATCCACCGCATCCGCCTATGTCGCCTAATCCACCGCATCCGCCTATGTCGGCCTTCCGCATCTGCAGTGGAAGTTGGCCGAGCTACAGCCATGTTTGTCAGACCATGAGACATCCCGAAAATCGGTCTTCTCACGAAAACGTCTGTAGCATCCGAACGGTTGGAAACTATTGTGACCAATCTATTGAAAGGGGAGACTCTCACCAACACGATGGTGTCTCCGTTTTGCTCTAGGGCCCACAGGACTCATCTGACTGTAACCCATACAAACGAATGGAAGCCAAAACAATAAGGGGTTAAATATGTGAAGAAGAAAAAATATATATATTTCCTGATCTTTCTTACATCTCCTAGATATAATACAGACACTTCAAAACCTTAATCCTTATTATTTATATTTTTACTGTATTTTTGTGCCATTTATAAAGGTGTTATTCAATGCGTTTCTATGGGCTATAGTAGCAAAGGCCAAATTCAATATTTTATCAAATAATATTTGTAATAATGATCCATGGTATGACCATCTGTGGGGGTGTTTGCTACCGCCAGTGTCCTAGATAAGGGACATCACAAGCATGCCCTGATGAAACTGTACAGGTCATTTAGTAGTTGGGTTTAGACTCAAGCCTGCTGGAACAAATCATGTTTGTTTAGCATTCATCAAACATTACTTCAACATGTCACGATTCTGGCAACCATTAAGATTTGCTTCAGGTTGAAATTTAGATTATAACATTGTTTTGACAAACTAATGGCAACCCATTTCCAGTAGAATAAGAGGACTGCACACAACATAGACATACAATCACACTCCACTCTTTACCGTGTTCAAATAGGAGAAAATCTGAACAAAAACGTAATTGGCAGCAATAGAACAAAAGTACAAAAATAAGAAAATAAATAGCTACATTACTAATAGTGTAAAATAATGCCTCATTATAACATCACCTCCAAATGTAAACCAACAGAATCAATAAACATGAATACACAAAACAATAGAAAACCAATAATTAGAAAACCAATAAATATAAAATAAATCATGTACATGTACATACATAAATAATATGCTGTCACTGACTTAAAAAGTAAAAACCAAGGACTTACAGTAAATCCATAAGGCTGTCTCTCACATGGCTCATATAAGTGAAGGCAAGAAACATGCAGACAGGGTATTGGGATACAGACAGTGACAGACTGATGCATCAGCTACACACAAAGGCTTATGTATCACTGTGTAAATTCATACCGTTTTACCCCATACAGAGGACTCTGTTTTGTAGTAAGATGTGGTCTGAGCACTTTAGCCTTGCAGGAGAGTAAACGTCTCAATAAGGTTTGTAGAGGATCTTCATCATATCATCATAAACATAAACATCACCATCATAACCATTACGATCATCATCATCTTTGCCATACTAACGTCTACTCCTGCCCTGAAGAGAACCCAATCTAGCCAATACTTCACTACTTCACTACTATTCTCTGCTGCTACCGTTAGAACAGATGTGAGTCCTGTCTCTGTGTCTTCTACTGTGGCCATGTGTGTATCTGTGTCTGTATCTGTGTCTGTGTCTGTGTATGTATCTGTGTCTGTGTCTGTATCTGTGTCTGTATCTGTGTCTGTGTCTGTGTATGTGTATGTGTCTGTGTATGTGTCTGTGTCTGTGTATGTGTCTGTATCTGTGTATGTGTCTGTATCTGTATCTATGTTTGTGCAGGCTAAGCTGTTAGCACCCAGCCTGAATGTATGGTGTATGCCTCAAAATCAACTCATGAGGTGCGATGACTCATTGATGCACCATATGGACAGAACTCTACACCCCCTGTTACACACACACACAGGCACAGGACCTACATGCGCCTGCTGAATGACAATCACTTGTAATGGCCACATCTCACCATCATACACCAGCCATGCACTAGAAATAGAACGATTAGAGTAGCCTAGTTGCACTATTCCACATACTGTAGCCTAGTTTCACTATTCCACATACTGTAGCCTACTATTAAATAAGACTGGCAATCAACACTGTGGATTATAGTAGTTGTTTCATGCTTAGCACAGAGTGAATTGATGCTATGAGCAACAATGGCCATTCTATTCCTTCTATTTCTAGAATCGATTCATTCTAAAAGGGGAGTAGACACACCTTGTATTTGATGAAAACAGAGAGGCTGAGCAAAGGCCTAAGAGTTATTTTCAATCTATTGCATATTTGTGCCCTTTCTCTGGCCTGAAGCACACACATACACACAGACACACTGCATCACAATAAACATTAAGACAGGCCAGCGTAGAAACGTAGATAACAGATAACCAGCAGGGTAGCGTGATTTTCATTGGCACCTATTAGCCATGCTATTTAGTCAATTTCTACATGGTTGCATCATCCGCTCTCAATGGCTGAATGTACGTACACACAACTAAAGATCTCAAGTAGCCTCCTCTCCTATTATTTTCTTCATCTGATGTGTAAGAATTGGACAAGTGGAAGAAAGTTCCAGTAAGCATCCACCATATTGCTTTCACCTATCCAATGTTTTCAGATCTGTGCAGATGAAGGAGAGGAGATGAGGAAAGGAAGCCACTTTAGATTATTGAGATGAAACCACTTTTGATTATTTAGATGTCCCCTCAATCCACAGTATCTGAGACTCGCCTTCAACATCAATGACCATTCTACAAAGGACTGAGGAAATACTCAACGATGGGTTAAGACCTGACTGCAGATGCAAAGTGTCAGTCATCTGGGTAGAAATAGATGCATTAGAATTCCTAAAACTGATCCTAGACCAGCACAAGGGGGTTAGTTGAAGGTCATCAGGGAGTTTGGTCATATCAAACAAGCACTGAGAGGTTGTACAGGAGAACCACACACAGTATTTACATTATATGACATTGGGATAATATATATAATTTGCAGGCTATCTATAGTATTTATACTCATAATTATATTGAACTGTACTCATTCACATCTTGCCTGAACAGTTTCCCACATATCAATATAATATCAATACAATGACTCATATTTTGCAAGGATGCAAGTCAGGGGGTCAGTATGTCAAACACACATGGTTTGGGCAATGCAGCTCAATTGGGGAACACAGGTAACACACACAGGGTTGCCGTGGTAAGTGCAACTTGACAACGGGAAACTGGGCGACGGGTGTTGACGTCACCCAGGTGGAAGAGTTTCTCAGTGATGACGTCATTAACTCCTGATCTCTCTTTTTCATCTCTTTTCTCCATCCCTCTCTCTTTCCATTTTATCTCTTTCGGTTGATATTTTCCTCTCTCTATCCCTCTTTGGCTCTTTCTCTATTGCTATATTACCCTTGTTTTTTCTATCTCTATTTCCCTTTTTTCTCTATCCCTCCATCTCGCTATTCTCGCACAAGACCTCTCCGGGCAGTGTGTGTGTGTGTCACTTGTGTGTGTCATACGGCAGTCAACACTTGAGCTGCTCCATCTCGGAGCACTCCGTGTCCATGTCCGAGTCGTAGAGCGAGAGACCCGTGCGGTCACTGTCTGGTGAGATTGTGTGTGTGTGCGTGGGTGTGTGTGTGTGAGGAGGGCTGGCCTCGTCTTGAAAGGTGTCTGTGCGGGAGTACAGCCCCAGGTCCTGGAGTTTGGACAGGGAGTCATCGTCCTCTGTGGTGTCATCGTAACAGAAGTCCTCCAGATCAACGAACCACTCAGGCCAGAAGCGCCGGCGGATCCTCTCACAGTACATGGCCAGGTTGATCAGCTCGCCTGGAGGGGACAGGGTGGGTCAAAGGTCAACACAGAGGCAAAGGTCAACAAGCTCAGCTGAGAATGGGTTAAAAATATGTATTTTATTTATTAAAGATAGAGTATCTTCTAGAGTCTGATTTCTCTCAAGGTTTCTTCCTCACCACTGTAACTTGATTATTTATTTTATTTTATTTTTAACCTCTGGGATGTTCTTTCTGGGGAGTGATGTTAACCATAACAGGCAATGTGGCTTGTTGGTGAGCTCACCTTTGATGAGCTGCTCTGGCCGTGTGCCCGGCAGGGTCCACATGGCAGGGGCTAGATGGCTGAACACAGTGGCATCCACCATGGATAGCGTAGGACCCATCAGGTACTTCTTATCACCTACCCAGAGAAAAACATAAAGAATCAGTGAGCGAGAAGAATGCTGTATGGAAACAAGTATATTTTGTACCGCAAATTAGTCCACATGGTGTGGTATCCTACTTTCGCCAGAAGAGGACAGAGTTGTACAAGGCTGTTCCTTCTAGCACTTGAAACTGGCCATAGTACTGTATACCCGACAGAGGAGGCTGGTGGGAGGAGCTATAGGAGGACAGACTCATTGGAATGGCTGGAATGGAATATATTGAACAGAGTTTCCATATGTTTGATACCATTCCATCTTTACAATGAGCCTGTCCTCCTATAGCTCCTCTCACCAGCCTCCTCTAACACCTGAATAATCCATAAAACAACAAAGGAACCTACAGCTGGCCTTAGCCCTGGCCTAGATATGAAATGAACAAGGCTTCTAAGGCTGCAGACTGTACCTTGTGAAATAAGATGGGGATTATGATCTTTAGGATTACGTGTGATCTTACTGATAATCTACAGTGTACTCTACATACCGAGCAGGGTGGCCAACGTCCGCATGTCCTTCTCCATCAGAGTGTAGACCTCCTCCTTGGTGAACCGTCCAATCCCGTGGCCGTACATCTCTCTCTTCACGATGCCGCCGGTCAGGTGACTCAGGATCCACTTGAGTAGGTCACTCAGCGGGCCGCTCACCGCCAGCATCTTCTGGGTCTCCTCCAGGTTGTCCACCCACTGACAGTACGCTATGGTCCTATCATCACACACAGACCAGCAGAGATTTTCATTAGGCCTACAGCAGGGATTATCAACTAGATTCAGCCACGGGCCGATTTTTTGTTGAGCGGATGGTCAGGAGGCCGTAACATAATTACAAATAATTTGTCGACTGCAAATTGACCACAAGAAGCACAAACAGATATAATATTTGACTAAAACATAATCGTTTCAAACCTTGCTTTCATTTGTATACGATCACAGTATATCTCTCTATTATGCTTGGGATTTTTGGAACAGATTTCCTAAATTAAAATCAATTGGAGCTGATTAGCTGGTGTTTTTACAGTCTTTTATGTCCAACAATGAAAAAGAATAAAATATAAACATTGGGTTTTTTTGCTCCGAAAACTTGGGAGGGGGGGTGGGGGGAGATATTAAATCGCCAAATTCGCCAGTGGGGGAGCCCTGGACTACAGTATCTCAAATCTATACGCTGATATAAAGTGTGCTCCCGACGGCACAGTTGGTTGGAGCATGGTGCTTACAACACCAGGGTTTGTGACACAATCACATTCACCAGTGTATCATATATCCTATTCCAGTATCTAGTGGATGTCCTGCGGTCAGGATGTGTCTCACCAGTAGAAGTGTTCCTCCACCATCTTGGTGACAGCCCGGGACACAGCCTTCTCATGGGAACTGAGGTTCTTGTTGAGGCTCACGCCCAGCTTCTCCTCCAGGAAGTCGATGATGAACTCTGTACCAGACACCTGCTCCTGGTTGTACTCTATCCATGGCATCTTCCCCTGGGGAGACAGCTTCCCATCAAAGTAGTTCTGCAGTATAGAGGGGGAGAGAGAGAGAGAGCGGAGCGAGAGCGAGAGAGAGAAGGGGGGGGGGAGAAGGAATTTCAAATGGTCAACTCCTCTTCAATAGAAAATTACACAACCATTACATCAAAATCACTCATTCAAACACGCACCAACCCAAACATCTCTGTCTCTCTCTCTCTCTCTCTCTCACACTCACACTCACACACACACCTGGTAGGGCAGGTCCACCATGCGTAGGTAGGTTTCTATCTTGAGGCAGAAGGGGGAGAGGGAAGGGACACCACTCTTTGGTCTGGAGAACTGGTGAAGGATGATGGCATCTTTAGAGTTCAGCTCCTGTTCCTTCCTATGGACCAGCCAGAACAAGGCAGTGTGAGCTCCACATTCTAATGACTCATATTTATACATTTTATTCAAAGCAGTGCATAATTATATGCATGAAATAAGCCCTCAACTCTGATGTAAGGCCATCTTCATATTGGATAAGTGAAAATTAAGTCCCAATTCAAATACACTGTAAATAATGTTTTTATCTTGATGATATCTGCATCCCCTGGTAGGCTGTAGTGTACACATTCATGACACAATGACACATTCATCTGGACGCGATTATAGGCTAATGATCAAATTGTAATTTAAAAATAATAAAAAACATTTTTTTAATTTTAAGTACATGTACTTAGATCTTATGCATCAATCCCATGTGCAATAGTATGTCACGTTTTATAGCTTTCTTGCACAGAGAGCCTTGCACCAGACCCAGGCTGAATCTTCGGGCAAGGGCGCGCCATTGCCAACGGGACACTACAATGTCAAAACAATTAGGACACAACCGGATGAAATATTGCAATACATTAACATGGCCACTGTAGCAGATAATATTACACGTTTGTACTGACCAACGTGGTCACAACTTAAGTAGATGTGTAAGGGAACTGTTTACTTCATAAAGGTGCTTAAACGCGAGGACAACGTCATTGCTGAAATTCCGAAGAGCTGTCCAGTTAGCGGTGGTGCTAAAATGCCCACATACCAACAACAACAACAAAAAGCGTTTTGATCCCATTATCTATAGAGTGCAAAGCGCTTCGGTGTAATGGCATACAGGGAGAGTAAATTACAGAGTAACTACTTAGAGATTGATGTAGAATTGATCTTCATTATAGTTTTTAAAGTATGAAAGAGCACAGGCTGAGCAAAAACAAACGCTACGTCATTGCTGAGTAGGCCTTGGGCTATTGTTGCTGCAGGTAACCGGATATGTTTTTGTAAGGACAGCAGCGACGGAGGTCAATCACCCCAGACATTATTTGAGCAAAAACTAGGGATTCTACGGCGAAGCTGCAGTTTTCCATGTTAACAGATCGCCAATTTATGTTAGCTCATGCCTATTTGGGCCTGGCTTCTCTTCTCTCTTATCTCACGTGCGAGGTTAGTAAAGGTCATTCTATTACAACCGCAGTGTTTTTCTACGGCAAGAGTCGACAGAAAACGAGGAGACATCTTTGGCTTGGGTACAGCCATAGAACCAATATCACACATGCCCTATCATCCCATGCCCTTGAGAAATTGTAAATAAATGAAAGTCAACCTTTGCAGCAATAAACATGATCTTCCTATTATTGTAATTACAAAGAACTCTCACTAATAACAGGCACATCACTGGAATACGAAGATCCATAACACTCGCGTGACTCATTGGTTTATTTTTTTCCATAACGCGACTGAACATTGAATCTCCTTCAAGCGGGCGGTTACATCACATTCACAATCCACCCACTCACGAATCTTGATTATCAACCGATTCCGCTCATGCAGCGCTCAACCCGCCCAAATTAAGTAATAGCATATATTGAAAATACAACAATAATACAGACATTTGATGTTCCTAAATCATGCCCAGGCACTACGGCAACCATTCATATTGATATCAATGCCACGAGTAATTGACTGTAGACAAGCGTGTTCTGCAGCTACAGTGTTATTGACATGGCTCTTTTTTTTGGTAGGCCTACCTGATGGCGAGCAGCTCGTGCAGTAGATAGGCAGCGGTGGCGAGCAGAGCGCCCCCAGCCAGATAAAGCGTTTTCCGCCACCACGAGTCTGACCCAAGGGCTGACATGATCCCGCCGTAGTCCTGCAGAGGGTAGGCGATGATGTACCCATAAAACGAGAGCTGCTCATCGGAGCCGCACAGGCCGAATGAGAAGCTCTGGTTCCGGCCAAGATCAACCACACACGAGCGCGTCCAGGCGAACCCGACGCGCCAGTACATTCTCTCGCTCAGTGGCCTCTTTCCGCCTTGCTTTGGCCGGTTTTGGCTTCATCAACGGGGGCTTCATGGGTGCCGAGGGGTCGTCGCGGTGCGGGATGTGACGAGGAAGAAAGTAACGGCCATCTCGCCTGGCGGTTGTCCCCGCAGCGGGGTCGGCATCCTCCGCAGCGGTCCCGCCGCTCTCTCTCTGTCGCGGATGAGGAGTGACGTCACGAAGGCTGTACCTTTGGGTACCAGCTCCTAGAGGCGGAGGGTAAACACATCAATAAATACACCATGTTGCTCCAACAAGAAACTCTGTTTTTGCAATCAGTTGGGCAATACTCAATTTCAATGCAATTTTTTTTTACCAGTAGTCCCCATATACTGTATAATGGACAGGTCTGCCTTGCAGCTTTGGAAGCAGTTGTAACTAACTGCATTACCACTGCTTACCACTAGATATCGCACTAAAGCCACATAACTATTGCCTAAGCATGGTGGTGTAGACTATGAATTTGGAAGTTATGTTTTTATGCAAGATGCTCAGTGCAGTGTGATAGAATATTCCAGACCATTACACATTTCAAGCAAGTCCAAACTAAACTCTCAATCATCTCAAAACTGTCTTTCTCTAATTCTCTTCCATCTGTAATGATTTGCGAGCAGCCTGTAGGTGAAAGTAATATGGAGGATGACCACCAATAGTCTGATTTCATCTAGACTTTCTTTTCACATCAGTGTATATGAAGCAAAATATAGTAGGAGAGGAATTCACTATTGGGATGTCCCCAAAGAGAGGGGACCATTAGAATGAACACTCCCCAAAACACAGTGTGCTCTAAAGTCTCTTGACAAGCAGCTTTATTTTGTAAGGCATTCAAGCACCGGTTCTGGACACACACAAACACAGACATAAACTCAACCCCACACACATCACTCCCACTGTATTATTTACGGCACAGACAATATATCGATATCTACAAGTAAATATGCACAAAGGTATTGTGACACTTCAATTTGATGAAATACATGGCAGGTGCAGACAGAAAACAACATTGGACCCTGGCTTGTTGAGGACTGATTCAATATGCAATAAAGAACACGCAGCTAAAATTCCAACCTTCCCTCCCCACCAACAACAAATAAATGTGGTCCTTACACAATATGCTCCATCTTTTTTTATTCATGATAGTAAACACATTTGAGCACTTTTACTTGAAGCAGACTATTAGCTAATACAGTTCATGATTTCTACCCATGCAAATTTGCTCAATCAAGCAAAACACAAAAGATTAAACAAAGGAATAAAGGTATGAGTAAGGCTATTTGCAATGGCTGGAGATGGGCTGGGCAGGAGATATAACAGTAAATGAAGACATTTTAATCTAGTGTGTACCCCTGGAAATTACATTCTCGCCCGTGACTTCCCCTGCTAAGCTCTGCAACAATCAATCAATGTAGACCTCAGATTGCAGGACATCCAATCGGGTAACAATCCAACAGCCTTACATCCTATCAGAACGCATCTAAAACAGTACAGGGCACAATCATCTTACAGATACCAGTATAAAGGACTACTATTCTCCCTGAGGAATGAAGCCACTACCAAATGGGCCACTCAATCACACACACTCACTAATGGTCAAGTTTTCTCTGGTCCCACGGAGCTCCATATTACATGACTGATCCCTGAGAGAGTTCAAGGAAGTCAGGATTATCACAACTCAAAGTCCCCCCGTCCCTCCCTACATCCTCCTGTTTCTTGCAGTTTGGTTTAGGTCCATAAGGTTAACTGTTGAGAGATGGAGTATCGTGGCAACACATGACTGCTGGCACCGATTGACTGATGCCAGCATTCCTGTGGTCATCTCTTTGATGAGTTATCGTATGAGCAGAGGCGGATTGAGCGTGTGCAGACTTGGTCTTCTGGTTGGGATAACCATATCAGAAAAGAGGGTTTGGGCTTTTTTGGTACCCTGTTTCTTCTGCTATTTGATCAGCTGAAATACATATGATTAGTCTCTGATGTCACACCACGGTATTGTGCAACATAAGTTTTCCCCCTGCACCCTGTCCATGGATACTATCCCATTGCCTATGACTGGCTGTAGGAGTTGTTCTGGTTCCCATTAGAGCTCTGGTCATTCTCACTGGTACACAAACAAACAGGAAACAGTTAGTTTAGGCAGGAAGTGGATGTGTCATGTGAACAGCCAATAGCTGGGACATTGAGGTGAGATTAGAAAAGATCTCAGTACCTGTTGGGTGGAGGCTTGGGTTTAGGCATCTTGTTGATCACAGCAGCCATCTCCTTCCTTTCGTCAAAGTTCTTCCACTGGTCATAAAGCTTCAGGATGACTCGGATGATCTCCAGAATCTGAGCCGGGAATAAACGTCACTGCACAGTACTCTATTATCCCTAAGGCAACTGGATCTATATACATACAATCAGCTTTCCCCTCTGATTGATTGAGAAATATGTCATTTGTATGGTGTTGCCTTACCTTCTCCATGTCTACAGAGAGCTCAGCGAACCACTGCCTGGCGTCCTTCTGCTGCACCACACAGGCAACATGCAGACAGGCTGTGGATGCAGGGGGAAGACACTTAGTGTAACACCTCACCTATATTTTATTGAGCTGAATATCTACCAGTAGTAAAGGTGAGCGGTCCGACAGGGAGTCTTACCTAGAGCGATCATGAAGGGAGGGTAGAGCAGACAGAGGTCTGTCCTATACGTGTCATTCACTATTCTCCTTTAGAGCCAAGAAAGGGGAAACCATGAGTGTTTCAACAGTTTCATATCAAATCAATACATGCTACCACAAAGAAAAACTCGTACCAGGCCAACGGCAGTAGCATGTCCTCCTGCCCCATGTCCTGCACATACTGCAGCAAGGGTCTGTAGGGGTGGTACACTATCAAACAGCAGTCCTGGAACACACGAGATCAGTTAATCCATCCATCCAACAAATGGATGACATGATCCAGCATGGAGTGTATTGTGAGAGACAAAGCATTCTATACTCACCATGAGCTCCAGTAGATAGAACTCACATTCTAAGATCTGTAATGAGGAAAGCAGTTGAAGTAAAAACTTAGTTTAGTAACTATATCAGTTTCATAGTCACAAGTCCTAACCCCCCTCCTCTCTATTGGACTATAGTTTTGAGAAATAGTATCTGGTACTAACAGCATCAATAATAGTCTACACAGCTTTTGGACAGGCAAGGTGTTAGGACAGCCCCAACGGGGTCCTGGCAACTCTGTGGAGACAGTAGATAAATAACCGGCGCTGCCATTGTTACCCACTTGGCACCACAGACAAAATCCCCTCCCACGGCGATGGGAGTTCCACCATAGGCATGTGATTGCTAGTGGAATGTGGCGACTCCGCTGACACCAACATACTGATACCTAACTACAACACACACCGTAAGGGACTCATTGTGGTGTATAAATATTCCACAATATAGTAAGTGTGTGTTGCCTAAGAGATTGGTCCCACCACCATGTAACATAATCGTAACATCAAGCTACAACAATGAATGATATCTTATCTAATAACTGTATAATAAATACTACATTATTACACCTAAGAACTGTTTATACAGCACATCCTAAATTATTTCAATAGTAAGGTTAGGTAAGACTTACATGGTTCATTCTGTAAGGGAACTCCTTTGGGAAGGCATAGGAAAATCTGGTTTTTACTGTACAAAACAAAAAACACTTGTTAGATTTGGCATCACATGAACACAACCCATCAGAATGAATGTAGCCTTTGTACCACAGCACTAGTGTATGTCATTTTCAATATAAGCTAATATCTAAATGGAAACGCTTGATCGCGTCTTCTGACTTACACACGGACGTAGCTGCAGAGATAAGACGAGTGTTTGAAACAACACCAAATTCCTGGAAGAGACAGAGAGGCTTTGATGATGCTGTCATATAGCAGTTAACCCCATCCTACTCCATCACAGACTACATCATACAGCAGTTAACCCCATCCCTACTCCCACACAGATTATGTTACAGAGCAGTTAACCCTACCCCTACATAGACTATGAAAAGTGGAACGGAAAGAAGGGGAAATCAGGCCATATACCTCCACTTTAGAGGCCAGGAACACACATGTAGGAGCCATGAGCACCGGGTCTATACTCTTCAGGGAGTACCTGCAAAGAGAGGTAGAGAGACAGGAAGAGAGAGAGGGAGAGATTAGGAAGAGGCCAAAAGCTATTATACAATGCTCCCCTAATTACATTTAGAATTCCATAATGTTCATGCCATGAAAACGGCATAAGCACCTGGCATAGAAACGTTTGAAGTAGACGATTGCCGTAGCGATGACCTGCTGACGGAGCTTCAGGTGTTCCCCCAGGGCCTGGATGACTGGAACAGAACAATACGTCAAACTCTGAGCACATCTAACCTCAAACACATCAAAAAGCAACCATACAAAACACTAGTTAATTTAAACGATATGTAAACAAGATTATTACTGGTTATTGAACAGAGTGCTATGAGACCAGACCTTAGGGTAATAAATGTTGTGATATTGTACCAACAGTAAACTAATTCTCCCTTCACAAAAACATTTTCCCACCACACTGATGTATCATAATAGGTGTGAATCAAAAGAAATACAGAGTTAAAGTTAGTCTTCTTTAGATACCATTGGCAAAGAAGATCTGCAGTTTCCAGTACTCCTCCTCATTCATAAACTTCATATCCTTCTGACGCTCCTTCATCAGGTCCTGTTTGTCCAGGACCCACTGCAGACTAATGACAGAGAGGAGACAATGAATCACACAACGAGCGATCACATACACACAGTATCATAACAACAAAACGATGCGGATGGGAAATTTGAGAGCGGTGCGACAAAAAGAAACAAAACAAAATGACTTGCCGACCAGCACTCGGCTAGTAGTGTGAGTGTGGCTAGGCTGTCAACCTAGCTCGCAAAATGGGCACATTAAATAATTAGCTGGATCAACAAAGAAATCTTAGCATTCATAACTAGCTTATTACCCCTTAGAATTGCATTGGTAGCTACTGAAAATGTTTATCCGCTACACTAATATTGACCTAACATGAGAGTGGGCGAACACAGTAACGTTAGCTAGCTAGCTACTGTGAAGCGGGCTAAGCTAGCAAGCTTCCCAACTTCCTAGTCCTTTAAACAAAGGAGTTTCTTTGCCATACACAGTCCTTATGCATCACGTCTGAAAATAATACTTACTAATGCGAGCTCTGCCAGAAGTTCCCTGCCATGGCTTAAGAGTTGAGGTAGAAAATGCAACTTTAAATTGTGTTCATTTGTCTTGAAAAATGTTTAACCGAGGACCAAATGGGGGTTCGTCACTAGTTACCACAGCCACAAAGTCAGAAAGCCCGCCTACTCGACCAATCAGATGACTGAGTGTTTTGATGCGTATGCCGGTCTTCGTCTGTGGGTTTTATGGCGGACTACATCCAAAAGTTGTATTGCGCCACCAACTGGACGGTTTGAAACCAAACATTTAATTAAAATAAATAAATCCCTACTTAATAGTGATTCTAACAATACACCCTAATAAAAATAGTACATTGCCAAAACAATCAGATGACTGAGTGTGATGATGCGTATGCCGGTTTACTTCTTCTTCTTCCGCTTCTTCTGTGGGTTTTATGGCGGACTACATCCAAAAGTTATATTGCCGCCACCAACTGGATGGTTTGAAACCAAAAATTAAATAAAAAAATCCCTACTTAATAGTGATTCTAACAATACACCCTAATAAAAATAGTACATTGCCAAAACAAACAAAACTCCCACTTCTTCCTTCTTTTAGTTCTCCATATCTCCCTTCTCAGGCTCTAGGACCTGAGATGGTGGTACGGCTTTTGCTAATATTCCATGTAACTCCTTCGCTGTGAAATCTTTCAGCCCCAGGAACCGCTCTGCCGCAATCACAATGATTTCAATCTTCCTAGATCTTTTCTCCACCTTGGCAGTGCCATTTTATCACCATTGCGATAAAGGTCACAAAGTCCACCTTTTTAACCTTTAAAATGTCAGGGTCCTCTTGGTGTAACACAACCCCTGCAGCCTGCAGTGAAGGCCTATCCACTACCATGGACTTTTCTGGTGCAACATTCAACCCCTCAACCCTTTTCACAGCTACTGCATATGAAATGTTTTGTACAACCCTGACTTTGGCCACCTCATTCTCCTTTACCCTTGTGGGGCATTCAGAAGACATGGCTTCATGATTCCCACCGCAATTACAATGTCACATTTCTTCACTTTTATAACACATAATATGATATTTTCCACATCTTATACATCTCGGCTTCTCCCTTTCTACATGACCAAAAGCTTTACAATGTTCACATTGGCCTTGGGATAAATGCTCTAACTCTGTTGTTAATATACCCTAACCGCACTTAATTAGGGAGAGACTCCATTTCAAAAAACAAAAGAACAGAAACTCTCCACTTTTTCCCCATTCACCACTCGATTCATCCGACGTGCTTCAATCACTCCAGGAATATTTTTAATCTCTTCCAAATCAATTTACCACGAAACGCCAAATATAACCCCCTTGAGGGGTGCCCTGTTCCAAAGAGACACACACATCACAATGCACGTTCCTTCTGATCCGCAGAATCACAAAAAAATCAAAACAAGCCCGCCTCTCGTGATCCTCACATCCTTCACTTTACCCAGCACTCTCTCCACCAGTTTGGATAACTCAAATGGTTTCTTCAATATTGGTACTCTGCTCAGCTGCTCCATATTAACAAACCGTACTCCTACTAGATACGAAAGGTCATTCACATCACTGTACCCTACTTTGCTCCGTTTTCCATTATTTTGAACAATACTCAAATTCTCCTTGATTCTACCGCCATTGTATTCAGAGTCATCCGCTTCCGCCATCTTCCCATTTCCCTTGACCTGTCTAACTCGAGGGTTCAGTCAATCTCTTGCTCCGTCATCCATGCCGGTTTACAGTTCGTGGGAAACGACCAAACAGATGAGGGAGTGTGATGACGTGTGTGTCGACCCGCTTGCAGGGGCAAACGAGAGATGCATTTATTTTATCTAGTGATCCATCAATTATTTGGTTATTTATTAGTCTAAAACTAACCGTTCTAAATGCAAGTGGTAATCGGATGTCTTATTCAAACTCAGCTTGCAAGCTTATCATGATGTTTGCGCTTACTCATAGTTACTTGTCAAAATAGGTTTACTTCAATATCTACATTGTTTTTAAAATGGCATCTGAACAAACAAATTGTGCATTCCACATTGTGACAAAACAAATAAATAAAGGGAAAAGGGGAATGGGAAAAAATTTAATTGCACCACCATCTAACGCTGCACCTATACACACCACATCCCACTACTTGGCTCTAAACGATCCTACACCAGGCTGTCGTCCTGGGAGAATGGAAGCCCTTCTCTCAAAACTTCCTGTAGATCTTCTGCACTAAAATCTCTCACACCCAAATATTTATCTGCTGCTGAAACTACCACATCTATCTTCTGTGCTTTCTGTTCCATCAGTGCAGTGCAGTTGATCACCATGGCTATAAATGCAAGAAATCCAACCTTACTAAAACTCATCCTCTCTGTCTCTCTCTCTTCAGGCCTACTCACTGGGGGGCTCCCAGTCGACTCACTCACCCTTGGGCTATCCTCTACTCTCTTCACTGCATCAGCATAGGAAACTTACTGCCCCACTCGAACTATGGCAATCTCAACTTGTCTCTCTCTCTCCCAGGCCACGTCGGATCCCAGTTGCATGGGATCCCCACAGTTGACACACAGTACTTTCTCTATGCCCTCCTGCACACTTCTCACATCGTGGGATCTCCCTTCTACACACTGCTGCAACATGTCCGAATCCTTGGCACCTAAAGAACCAAAGCGGGTTCAGAACGTAGGCCCTCACAGAATAGTAAATATAACCTAACCTGACCTTATCAGGAAGAAACTCTGTGTCAAAGCTCAACAAGACAGACAGGGTATTCTCAGTCTCGCCATTGCCACCGGGTCTACGTCTCACCAAACGGCGGGCGTCAGAAACACAAAGAATATTAGTTTTCATTTGATCCACCTCTACACTCAACGCTACCCCACTGATCACCACTTTTAGCGGCACCCTGCTCTGGAGAGCAAAGCACACCACAGGTTGAGCCCAGAGCCACGTGACGAAGTGCCCACTTCCTCTGGGAGACGGATACCCCAAAAATTTAAACAATTCCACTTCTCAAAACTTTCACAGATGTAACCATTCCCAGTTTGTCCTTTACCCAGCCCGACACAATGTATGGGTAGGCCAAAAAGCTGGAATCCACTCCGCAGGTATGCCCACTTCATCCTGGACTGGCTCAACCCCAAAGATCTCACCACTGCCATCAGACTCCATTTCAAAATCATCAAGGTTCTCAACAGAGCATGAAGACCTGTAAGTCATATGACTTGGTTTGTAATCAGCAGATGTAGGTACAGTGAGGGAAAAAAGTATTTGATCCCCTGCTGATTTTGTACGTTTGCCCACTGACAAAGAAATGATCAGTCTATCATTTTAATGGTAGGTTTATTTGAACAGTGAGAGACAGAATAACAACAAAGAAATCCTGAAAAACGCATGTAACATTTTTTATACATTGATTTGCATTTTAATGAGGGAAATAAGTATTTGACCCCCTCTCAATCAGAAAGATTTCTGTTTCCCAGGTGTCTTTTATTCAGGTAACGAGCTGAGATTAGGAGCACACTCTTAAAGGGAGTGCTCCTAATCTCAGCTTGTTACTTGTATAAAAGACCCTGTCCACAGAAGTAATCAATCAATCAGATTCCAAACTCTGCACCATGGCCAAAACCAAAGAGCTCTCCAAGGATGTCAGGGACAAGATTGAGACCTACACAAGACTGGAATGGGCTACAAGACCATCGCCAAGCAGCTTGGTGAGAAGGTGACAACAGTTGGTGCGATTATTCGCAAATGGAAGAAACACAAAATAACTGTCAATCTCCCTCGGCCTGGGGCTCCATGCAAGATCTCACCTCGTGGAGTTGCAATGATCATGAGAACGGTGAGGAATCAGCCCAGAACTACACGGGAGGATCTTGTCAATGATCTCAAGGCAGCTGGGATCATAGTCACCAAGAAAACAATTGGTAACACACTACGCCGTGAAGGACTGAAATCCTGCAGCGCCCGCAAGGTCCCCCTGCTCAAGAAAGCACATATACAGGCCCATCTGAAGTTTGTCAATGAACATCTGAATGATTCAGAGGAGAACTGGGTGAAAGTGTTGTGGTCAAATGAGACCAAAATCGAGCTCTTTGGCATCAACTCAACTCGCCGTGTTTGGAGGAGGAGGAATGCTGCCTATGACCCCAAGAACACCATCCCCACCGTCAAACATGGAGATGGAAACATTATGCTTTGGGGGTGTTTTTCTGCTAAGGGGACAGGACAACTTCACCGCATCAAAGGGATGATGGACGGGGCCATGTACGTCAATCATTGGGTGAGAACCTCCTTCCCTCAGTAGTGCATTGAAAATGGGTCGTGGATGGGTATTCCAGCATGACAATGACCCAAAACACACGGCCAAGGCAACAAAGGAGTGGCTCAAGAAGAAGCACATTAAGGTCCTGGAGTGGCCTAGCCAGTCTCCAGACCTTAATCCCATAGAAAATCTGTGGAGGGAGCTGAAGGTTCAAGTTGCCAAACGTCAGCCTCGAAACCTTAATGACTTGGAGAAGATCTGCAAAGAGGAGTGGAACAAAATCCCTCCTGAGATGTGTGCAAACCTGGTGACCAACTACAAGAAACGTCTGACCTCTGTGATTGCCAACAAGGGTTTTGCCACCAAGTACTAAGTCATGTTTTGCAGAGGGGTTAAATACTTATTTCCCTCATTAAAATGCAAATCAATTCATAACATTTTTGACATGGGTTTTCCTGGATTTTGTTGTTATTCTGTCTCTCACTGTTCAAATAAACCTACCATTAAAATGATAGACTGATAATTTCTTTGTCAGTGGGCAAACGTACAAAATCAGCAGGGGATCAAATACTTTTTTCCCTCACTGTATGTACACATCGAACGAAGGTGTATACTCAGGAGACGAATCTCTGATCTTAACAGCACCATTCTTACGCTTCTGCGTTATTGCACTTCTTCCGTCGATCTCTCTATTTGGTCCTCAAACTTGAACTCGAGATATGCCATTTCGAAAATGAGGCTTTTCCCACAAACCGAAATACGGGTCATCACACTCCCTCATCTGATTGGTCGGGTAGGTGAGCCTTCTGAGCCGGCATACGTGTCATCACATTCCCTCATCTGATTGGTCGAGAAGGCTGGCCTTCTGACTTTGT